CAACTCCGTGATTCTCAGCACACAGTTGTGAGATAGAAGATGTCATGAGGCGACTTGATGCTTTGCCCTGTGCTGCTGATGCAGAAGATTCTGGTTCATTCCTCAGGAGGATTTCGTCTGTCAGTAGAAGGGATGTGAAATACGGCCACACTTTCCCAAGCTCTGGTTGCCAGGTTGTCATAGGCTGAGGACCAGGGGTTAGCAGAGAAGTGTGCATGGGGCACTCGGGGTTAACAAAGTTAGTGTGGTCTTTCCAGCTGTAGGGCTTCCTACCTGGAGCTTTGCTGTGCATGGTGACTCCCTTAGGGAGTAGGCAAGGCTTCCCAAACTTATTTAACCCCAAGAACACTTTTTTCTGTTTCATGAGGCCAGTGTTCAGGGGAACACACTTTGGGAAAAGCTGGTGTTGTAGATAAGCATGTGCTTTAGACACAGACGCAGTTTCCTTCTCTGTGAAACGGAGATGCAAACCCATCTCTCCACGACGCTGGGTGGTAGAGAAGACGGCGTCTGTGCAGGGAAGGTGTCAGTCCCGCCCTTCCCAGTTCTGCACCCCAGGTCCTCTTAGGCTGAGACTTTTAAGAGGTTTTGGAAGCATCCCGCTTGGGGCAGGTCCATTGTGTGACATGGTTGTCTTCTTCCAGAGCAGCCTTTTTCACCCTGTGCCTCGAGGTGGCATCATGTTGGTGTTAAGACACAGCTCCGCTCGGCCCCCAGGCACCCGGGCAGGGTCCCAGTGTGCCGCATGGGTTCTTGTGCATGTGCTGAGGTGTAAACGGGGCCCGGGAGCCGAGAGCTAAAGTTCACAGCAGACCCAGCACACGCTGTCCCGTGCTGTTCGGCCTCTGACCACCTCCTGTCTCTTTGCCAGGCTGGAAGTGCACCTCGTGGGCGGCTTCAGTGATGACAGGCAGTTGTCACAAAAACTGACTCATCAGCTTCTTAGTAAGTTCACTTTCTTCCTCAAATTTGATAAAAATATGTATCTATTTTTGCTTAGATAAAAATCCCAATTAGTACAGAACCCAATTAGTATCTATTTTTGCTTAGATAAAAATCCCAATTAGTACAAAATCCCAATTATTAGTACAGTACAAAGGGGTGCACCTGCTTGGAGCCACACAAACTGCTCAGCTTGGAATCTTCCATAAAGACAGGATAGCAAAGAGCTAAATGCTTAGAGGTAATGGGATGGGGACAAGATTTTCTTTCAAAATAGCAGGTGATGCATCCCAAAATAGCAAGTGCTGTGAATTGTTTGAAAACAAGAACCACCTTCTGGGCAGAAATGTCCATTTTAATCTGAAAAGAATTAAAACCCCGATAAAAGCCAATTTTTCCCCTGTTAAATTAGCAAATATTAAAAAAAAAAAAGATGTTCTTTGATTAACCATGAGGCAGCGAGGTGGGTGTATTCCTGCAGCACTGGAACATACTTTGGTGTAACCTGTCAGGAAAGCCATTTGGCATCATGGTCCATCATGGACCCAGTAATTCCCCTTCTGGGAATGTATTATAAGAAAATAATCTGAAATGTACACAGAGATTTATGCCCAAAGATGGGCAGTAGAATGTTATTTACAATTGGAAATAATCTAATGTCCATTAGTAGAGGAACAGTTATATAGCCATTAAAAAATAATACTTATGAAGAGGTTTGAATTACATGAGAAAATACATATGTACAAAACAATCAGGATATAAAATTGTCTACATCTGAGCTCAGCTGTGCACGGACAAATATGGCAGGAAACATACTGAATGTTAACTGCTAGGATTATGGGCATTAAAAGCCCATACACTTATATCTTTAAAAACCCACATATTCTTTCCACTCTGCTGTATTTTCCAAATTTTTCATAATGATCAATTTTTTTATGACTGATAATCAGGAAAAAAAAGTTATTTAGGAAAAGGGTAAAAATCTTATGAATTTGTCCCCCCAGCCTCTCAGAATGGAGAGAAGAATGGAAAGCCTTGGTCGAAGTTTCCTTTGAGCTTGAGGCTAGGAGCACATCTGTCCCTTGGCAGGCAGGGTTCTGGGCATCAGCTCATGTGGATCTGACCTCTGATAAGAGGCCAGGTTGTGACCGGAAGGCTAGTGGATCCGACTCTCTGTCCCCTTCTTGACTTGTTCAGCATATGCTCTGCTAATTAAAGGAACTTTTTTTTTTTTTAATTGTGTGTCAAATGCCTGAAATCTTTTGAATACTGCACACAGCTCAGAACTGGCTTACGTATTGGCAGATGGATTTTGTTTTTTTTTTTTTGCTGTACGTGGGCCTCTCACTGTTGTGGCCTCTCCTGTTTCGGAGCACAGGCTCCGGACGCACAGGCTCAGCGGCCATGGCTCACGGGCCCAGCCGCTCCGTGGCACCTGGGATCTTCCTGGACCGGGGCACGAACCCGTGTCCCCTGCATCGGCAGGCGGACTCTCAACCAGTGCGCCACCAGGGAAGCCCGGATTTTGTTTTTTTTGTTTTTGTTTTAGTATTTATTTTTTTTAGGCTGTGCCGGCTTAGTTGCGGCACTCAGGATCTTCCTTGTGGCACGCGGGATCTTTTTAGTTGCAGCAGCATGTGGGATCTTCTTTTAGTTGCAGCGTGAGGACTCTTAGTTGCAGCATGCACGTGGGATCTTGTTCCCAGACCAGGGATCGAACCCAGGCCCCCTGCATTGGGAGCGAGGAGTCTTACCCACTGGACCGCCAGGAAAGTCCCTAAAGGAACTTGTTTGACATCAGTTTTTAAATTCTCATCGTAGGTGAATTTGACAGACAGGAAGATGACATTCACTTGGTGACATTATGTGTGACAGGTAAGTTCTGCCATCTTTCCCAAAGCAAAGCTGTAGATTTCGGGGATGTTTTGCCCTTGCTCTTAAAGCAGGACCCAGCATCCGTGCCTCAGTCGCAGACGGCACTGTTTGTCAAATGCTTTGATGCCTTCTGGCTTTTCCCATATCTTCTGGGATGGCCTTCCCCGCCCTTCCCACTCCAAATCCTGCTCAACCTCAGTTGAGATCCTGACCCACCCCCTTGAGTGCAACTCCTCTGTCCTTCCTTGGGATTCTCAGCAGTCTGCTCTGTACTCCTGGGAAGGTGGAGGGGCCAGATCCCGGAGAGGAGCTGCCGCCACGCGTGTAGGCGGCTGGGAGGCCCAGAATCTGGAGAGGCGGTTTGTTCGCTATAACCTTACTGCTCTGGGGCTCAGCAGGGAAACAGGGACACAGTCCCTTTCATGTTCTGATTTCCCCCCCTTTTGCAGTGGGGACTCCTCCTTGGCCTTTATTTATGGAAAATAAAAGCGATTGTTGGTATTTATTAAAAATTGATCTTAAAATTTCTTTTTTTTACGTGTTAGAATTAAATGACCGGGAAGAAAATGAAAACCACTTTCCAGTAATTTATGGCATTGGTAAGTAGCATGTTGATCGGAGGGTTTATTGGTCTCACACTGACAAGACAAGCTCCGGTTAAAGGCCGATTCCACCAGCTAATAAGCCCGTTGCTGTCGGTGTGTCACAGCCTTAGGTTCTGATCCTGACTTCTCGGTGTATTTGCTGGGAAAGAAGCTTACCTTCTCTAGCCTTTATCTACAAAATAGAGAAAACATCCACATCCTAAGGCTGTGAAAAGAAACAGGGTAGCAAATATAAAGTGTAGGCATCACCCCCATTAGGAGAAAGCTGAATGTCAGTGGTCTCTGCTCCCCCAAGAGGCCTCTCTGCTTTTTTCCAGCCGGTGCTCTGGGGGCTGGAGCAGGGCATTTGAATTTGAATCTTAGGGATTCAGTCGAATCCCTAAGAAGATTCAATTGAATCTTCTTCCCTTCTTAGGGAACTAATTAAGGTTTTGATTGAGAACAAAGATCCTACAAAGGAAAGTGTGCAACCACCAGGCTAAAGAAAACCCAGAACTTTCCTCCCTCCTGTAACAGCCCCGAGGACTCCCAAGGCTGTAATAGGGTGAGCCTGCCTGTCTCTACAGAGGGCTCCTGCCATATCTGTGATATTTATTTGGCTGGGCGTTCACTGCTTTATTCTCTATACTTTGTATGTCTGAAATAGTAAAAACCAACACACGAACACCAGATTTGGCCCCAGTCCCAGGCCATGTTCGCAGCCGTGTTTGGTCACAGGGCTGACCAGCGAGGCTTTGCCACGCACTGCCTGAAGAGATGGTGCGCCTCCTGTGGGGGGGGCCCTTGGTTTGGAACCAGGTCTTACCTAGTCCAGCTCAGGCCTCAGCTCTTCTCAGCGAGATGCTTGGCTAAAGGGTTGCATTATCCCTTTCCAGGAAGGTAGATGCTACAGACACCTAAGAGTAACTTTGTTCAGTTTCCACTCTTTTCTCTCTGAGGGAGACTCATCCATATTCTATTACATGTGGTGGTAGAAGTGTGAGACTGTGCCAGCCCTTGTGGCTTTTGTCAAGGAAGTCATCCTGTTGTCCCTCACAGCTGTCAACATCAAAACCTCGGAGATCTACAGAGCCTCCTTCCAAGACCGAGGTCCAGAGGAGGAGCTACGTGCCGCACGAGCTTTAACAGGAGGACCAGTGAGTTTGATTATCATCTTTGTGTTACAGGGTTAAGGAAAAAAGGGGGGCATCAAACTCCAAAGTCTTAAGTTTTATAGACCTTAGAAATGAAAAGTTTGTCACTTCTTTAAAGTTGTACATGATCAGGAACCATCACGAACACGTCACGTAGAATAATAATGAACGTTTTCAATTATAAGCTCAAGACCCCAGTTCTCTGCCGTGAAGATGTTGGGGAGGTATGTGAACACCCAGCACCCAGATCCAAAGAGAACGAGCCCCTTTTACTTTGTAAGGACTTTACCAGTGAAGCTGCTGCAGAGAAAGGCGAGCTAAGGGGGAAGAAGAGCCTTCTCCCCTCTGCACCTCAGGATCACACTCTCCTCCGGACCAAGTAACTGAAGACCAGTTTGCTGGGATGAATTGATTAACCCCCAAAATAATCAAATCACTTTAAGAGTCTGATTGCTTTAGGGTGCTTTTTAATTAAGTAACACCTTCATTTTAAAAGTTAGAAAAATAAAAACCTAAGACTTACACATTGAGGAATGGGTGAAAGAATCCTTTTAAAATGCTTAAAGTGAAAAAAATAGAAATCGCATTCAGAGCACCCAAAAGAAATCTGCTCACTTATGAAATACTGCCACTTTCATTGGAAATGTCTGGATTCAATGGTCTGTTCTGCCAACCCTTTGACATTGTTAGGGTTCCTTTTGCAGCCTCTCAAGTAGCATAACAGCCTTGATTTAGCTAAGATTCAGGACATATTTCAGTCTCAGTAACCAAAATTGAACATTGCTGGTGAAGCTGAAAACTACCATTGGCACATTTGAGAATTCAGGGAATTGATCATTTGGCAAATTAACATTTTTACAAATTGGTTTTCCCCTTTTTCTGATGGGGCAATGGCATGTGTACTTTTAAGTTTCAAGGTTACTCGGGGTGTGAATAATGAGGCAGTGTTTCATGTAGCATTGAGGAGTGTGGACTTCAGTCAGACACACCTGGGTCTGGGCCTGGCCCTAACTCTTATGGACATGTGACCATGGGCAACGGGCCCGTCTCTCTGAGCCTCGGGTTTCCAACCAAAATGGGAAAAATGCCATCTTCCTGCAGGACTGTTGTCAGAACTAAACAAAGTAATGTCTGTTTCCCACAAAGTGTAGTACCAGAGAGGTGGAAAGTATTCAGTAAGTAGCAGCTTCTGTTACTTATGAGACAAAAATTGAAAGAAGCTTATCATCCAGACAAATGCCTTAATTTCAAGACTACACTGGAGCTTGCATTAAAGGTAGGGTTTAAGCTGATAACATTCCTTAAATTCTATCCTTGAAACGTTCTTTTTTAGATGATTAGTATTTACGATGCAGAGACAGAACAACTTCGTATAGGACCATATTCCTGGATGCCATTTCCCCATGTGGATTTCTGGTTGCAGCAAGATGATAAGCAAATACTAGAGGTGAGAATTTACAGGTTGGGTAAATCTTAAATCTGTGGACCTTGGTTTCCTCATCTGTAAGGAAAAAAAAAAGGGATTAGACTAGATAACAGCAGCTTCTCCTTCAGTGTCTGGAGGATGCCATTGGCAGACCCTGTTTAGCTGCTGTGTCAGTCAGGGGTAAGTGGAGTCCTGGATGGACATCTACACAGGGCAGCAGTAGGCAACCAACTGTTTTGTTCTCATTAACCCAGGACACCTCGTTTCTTATGTAATTTTACAAAATACACATATATATATATATATATATATATATAGTGATCTGAGAACAGCCTGATTAATGTTTAAGGAGCAGAGAGAGACTCTGACATCTTTATCAAAGTAGGGAACAGAGCAGGGTTCTTCTCTCATGCCCCAAATCTTGTTTGTTTTTCCAGAACCTTTCCACGTCACCTCTGGCTGAGCCCCCCCACTTTGTTAAACATATTAGATCTACCTTGATGTTTTTAAAGAAATACCCTTCTCCGGCTAACACGCTGTTTCTTGGAAATAAGGCTCTACTCTACAAAAAAAATGAAGATGGCTTATGGGAAAAGATCTCTTCTCCAGGAAGCTAAAAATAAATAGGAATTACCAAAGAAAGCAACTTTTTGGCATGACAAAAGACCACTGGTGGAGGTAGGAAAGAATATCCATTCTACATCCATTCAGTCTTAGGTCTCTTTCCTTGCTCCGTGTTTTTCAAATGACTTTAAAATAAAATCTTATTTTGGCAAAGGCATTTGTTTAGGTTTACTTTTTGGTTAGTAATGAGAGGCAGAAGAGAAGCCAGCTTTCTCACTGTGCTATAAGCAGCTATTTCAGATACTTGGGTAAGTCTAATTCTGCTAAATTAGTGAATAAGGGAAAAACTGTCATCTATTTTGTTTAAAAGAACTATTTAAAATGCAGTAAAGTTCGGTGAGAATTTATACATCTCACAGAGATTTTTTTTTTGACCTCAAAATATTTTAGAAGCATCAAATCCAAAACTGATGTTATATTTTTAGAAACCTTTATTTTTCTGAAATTGTTATCCAAAAGGAAGTTACCATGCCCAATTAATGCTAAGATTTATGAAGTGAACTCAGTGGTAACAATTTCAAGAACCTTTATTGAAACCAACATTCAAATAGTATCTCAAGGGTGAAATTCTGTTTCAGCAAAACCAATTTAACAATTTCAAATATATATAAAAACATTTAAAAATTAATCTTGTTAAAGGTGATAATTTCCCCTTCCCCCATTTTATCTGCTATACTTCATTGCACCAAATAAACAGGGAAGACTTTGTTTAATCATTTGCACCAAAAAAAAAAAAAGGAAAATTGCATTTTGACAAGTGCCAAATGTCAGAAATCACATCAGATCAGAGTGTAATTACAGGCTTAATGTGGTATAACTAAGGCTTTCAGTACCTACAGTCCACAAACCCAACGTGAATCCCCACCATCTTAAGGTCTCCCGTAGCTTGACTTCACTGGACTAAAAGGCACAGGGGCCCTTACCTATGATAAACGAAGTGATGCAGTACTTTTGGGGAAGTAGAAACAGGCAGTAATCAAGGGTTACTTCCAATTATTTCAGCAGTAGTCTGGCGTGATCAGCCTGAGAAAGATTACATTTCTGGTTCTTGTTTGAGTTGGGCCCAAAAGGGTGAGCTGCTAGTGGAACAGAAGCTACAGAAGCTCCCATGAGAATGGGTCAAAGGTGTACTGAATTTAGAATTTCAACGTAATGAGGTGCTATACAGCATATTAATACGAGGCTTTTAAGAGTAGCATCTATTGAGTTTTCAGATATTAAACATAGAAATAAGTAGTCTGTACTTGTGTGCCAATTTAAAAGCTTTATCAGTATTTAAAAATATACACATATATATATATATATATAATATGGTCAAGAAGAGTCTTTACAGTTACCCTTAATAGATGAGTCCTTTAATTTGTTTACAAATAGTATATAAAGGGAGAAATGGATTTGTGGCAGAGCTAAGTCAGACAGAAGCACTGTCCAGTCTAACTTGCTTGACGACCCTGCCACAGCTTGAGCGGACACGGTCCTTCCTGACGTCTCCGGGGAAGCAGCAATCGGGGGTGGCAGGAGAGGGCTTCTGACACTCTTATTTACAATCCCATTGAAACCCACTCTCCTTCAAGCCAAACGCAATCCAGTTGTATACTGCAACCTGATCAAACTAAACACCAAGCAAAACAGATGGCAAAGAATGCTGTCTGTCTCCTCTGCAGCAGGACAACAGAGAACCCAGAGAGTTCTAAAGAAAGCTGTCTTACCGAAGGGTTATTATGTGCAACCTAGTAACTTCTCACACGTGTGTTTAGAAAGATGAGAGCAAGTGTTTCAAGTGGCAGGCACTTGAAATTCTAAGTTTTCTCTGTGAATAAAAAGTGTTTATGGTAACTGGGGGGAAAGGTGTTACTACAGTTGGGTAGAGACAGAAACAGTAGTTGTTGGTTGTTCTATCAGTACATACCCACAAAATTACACAAGTCAGTTGCCCTCCCAGAAGCCTGGCTTTCAGGCACATTTTTGTGCAAAAATCCCAGTTAAGCACAAATAACAGTAATTTCTCTCATACTAGCATGTGGCACAGTTCACATTTTCAGAATAACTTCATCTTCCCTGAAACAATATTCAGTACAGTCTCCAAGCAAACACTGAATTTTATCTTAAGCTCTCTGGCTCCTCTACCTGTGGGCAGTCATCTTCCAGGCGCTGGGCCCTGTCCTGGAGGGCCCCCGTCTGCTCGGCTTCTGGAGGGGTGGGCACCCCTGGGTGCCGCTCAGGGCTGTTAGCTTCCGAGGCATCTTGCCCACCCGACAGGTGCTCGATCTTCTCTAAGTCCTCGATGTGACTGACTGAGCTGGTCTCGCTCACAGCATCTGAACCTCTTAGGGACCTTTTAAAAGGCTTCTGGCCTAGAAGGAAGATCAATGAACGGCACTGAACGCTTGGAAAAGGACACCCCTGCAACGGAAGCTGTCTGTGCTCTAAGTGATTGCTTTATTTAATCACAGCTGCTTCGGCAGAAACCCCTGGGATCACTGGCTCTGAAGCATTTAAGTGATGAGGTGAGAAATGAGAGCTGATATGACATTAACACGCCCCCAGTGCCGAGGACTTTGAGGGAACCTCAGTCAGGAAAAGCTCAGGGGAGTGAACACCAGGTTAAGCGTGACAGCTATCCAGACCCTGACTTCCCCCGGGGAGTGCTACCCAGGTATTTCCCCAAGGCTTTGAAAAAGCTAAAGGGACAGTGACAGCTGTCCTTAAATGATGAGAAATAGGACTTTGGGTTGAAGAATCAAGAAAACAGAGGAATGCAGGTAATACCAAACGGTTAGGCGTTACATGATGCAAAGGTCTGTTTTACCAGGGGAAATACAACCAGTTTTCTTCAGTGTTAACGAACTCAAACATGGAGACGTGACGTACCTGGAAGTCTCTGTTTAGTGCGAGCGCCTGAGGGGGTCTGAGGCGGTGTTACTCCCGAGCCTTGTACTTTGTACACGTATGTGTGTTCCGTGGACTCCAGGGAGCCTGCAGAAAAGAGGGGGGTGGGGAGGTGTGTGTGGGGGGAGGTCCTGGCGCAGGCGCCCTGGGGGAGGCCCCGGGTCTCCTGACATGTGCCGGGAAGCGACAAAGCCATCTCGCAGCTGTGCCCACGAGTGAGTCCCGGCCCTGCTGGGGTGTTTCAGCCTCGTCTCCCCACGTGTCCTGTGTACGTGTGAAAACAACCAGACAGCAGTGTGGCCCAAGTGTGCCTGAGGAGCCAGGCCCCAATGGGAAGTGTCCTTTAGCAACAAGGAATGGATGCCTCTTTGCTAAAGGTTTGGCGGGTTCAGTGTCAGATTATCCCTTGCTGTCATATGACAGTGTAGTCATCATTTCCTGGGGAAGGGGCCCCAGGTTCAGGGAATTATTCCACTGGTAGAACAGGAAAGGAGGGGCCTGCAGCTCAATATCTTCCCCAAATCCCAGCAACTGGTAATACTTGCTAGTTGCCTGGTTTGAAATAAAATGGCTCAGCACTACAGACTATAATCTTTCACTTGCCCCTGGCAAAAGCAGCTCTCTGCTGGGGCAAAACACTAATGAGGACTGCACAGAATGTGAACACTGAACCAAAACGTCCAAGACACACTGTCTGGAGGACTGAACAGCTGAGTGAACGCGTTCTTGTTGAGGTCAAGAGGAGTCTGCTGTGGGCAACAGGCACCTGCTTTCGTACTATTTCAGCTGTCGGGGCAGGGGAGGGAAGATGACAGAGTCCCAGGGGCAGACAAATCTCGCCTCCTCTCACAAGAGTCCCGGCCCAGTGCTTGGTGTAAAGCCTGGGACACAGACAAGGCCCCTCAGCACGAGTGTGGGATCCCAGGGCATCATCTGGCAAAACTCTCCAGATGAAAGAGAGTCCTACCTGCCGTTAGGTTAAAAGTTCTTCCCTTTTGTGAAGCCTGTACTGGAGAAAACCAATTCAGCACGGATCCTACCACGGGGATTTGCCGTAACACCCCCTGCAAAACATAACCGTTGCTCAAGGCCATCCTGTGGAGGCTGGTGCCCAGCCTGAGGCCAGCTGGGGAGCCCACCCTGGAGCCTCACCTCTTCCAGAAGTCGCTCCTCATTTGCCTTCTGCAGTTGAACCTGAGCTTCCTGAATTCCTTTCCGAACCACTTCTGTCATGTTTTCCAGAAGCTGTGTTAAGACCAAGAAAGGCATTATTTGTCTAAGCTTCTTGCTGAAGGCCTAGAACTATTAACATAGTGCTGGGGACATTTTTCAAAAGTATATTAGTAAATGGCACTTTAAAATGTCAGTGTAAAAATAAAACAGAATGTCAAATAGAAGAGGTCAAGATGTTAAAGGAGGCCTAGGCAGACGTACCTTGGTGACCAGCCTCATTTGCCAGGGAACAGCAATAACTGTCCCTGTGATCTGAATGTCATATCAATAGAAAACAGACATGACTCTCAACATTCATGGAGACAGAGGCAGAAGTAATATAGGCAGGTTTGGAAGAAACTTCAAGAAGTCCACCCAAGAATGAAAAAAGTTGGCTCCTAGGCTTCATTTCAAACTCCCTTCTCTTCCGCACCCCTACTACCAAAAGTGAATCACATGACACAGGTTTCTGCCTCCTCTCAGACCAGTCTTGCTTTGGTCCCTTTTCTCTCCTTTTGAGTAATTTCTAGTGACTCGCATATCTGGTGTGGAGAGCGTCCTGTAAGTCTGACAAGCCTGGTCCTCCGTGCCAACTGGCCAAGAGAAGCAGGTCTATTACTGGCGGAAAGTTCTGTTATCAGAAGCACCATCCCATCCAGCCTCAGGACCAGCTCCAATCAGGAACTCTTCCCTGGCCTTGTCGGGCAGAGGTGGACACAACTTCCTGAATGCATAGCCTCCCCTAACTTCTGTCCACAGCATTTACTACCTCAGTTGCTCACATGCGTCTCTTCCCCACTCTGGCTTGTGAGTTCACTGAAGGCAGTGACCGCATCACATCACCGGCATCCCTGATGCCTGCACAATGCCTGGCTCACAGGAAGCCTTTAAAAACTTGGGGAAAGAACGAATGAACAGACACTGCTAAGGGTAGCTTCTTCCTTTGTGACTCCAGCTAATTGCCCAGGGAAAACCCAGAAAAGGAATGAGACACTGATTAGTCTTACAGACCCTGGAGTTTTCCTCGATTTCTCGGGCTGTGACTGCAATGGTCTCCACTAGTTCAGAAACATCTATGTCGTCACTTGCCATGCCAATGTAAATACAGCTCTTCATGCTTTTATACTCAGGGCCTGCGGGCAGAAACAACAGACTGACTTGGTTCCCAAGTCCTCAGACACGGGCCACTCCCTGTACAGCAGCGCGACCAGGCACAGGAGAGCCTCCCCGAGGGGGTGAGGACGTGGATCTAATGAGGAGATGGGACCCAGAGAGGCTGCAGAAGGGGTGGAGGGCTCTATCACCCTGGGAAGATCTAAATAGCTAAGAGAGACCATTTCCCTTCAAACCAGTTAGAAAACAGCTTTCAAAGTTCAAAGTTGACTTTAGAAGCAGTAATTACCCATTTTAAATGTAAGGTCAGATTCCAGTTCATTTAACTTTTTCAGGAGTCCAGCATGGATTTTTTCCCCTTCTGGATCCGATTTCAAACTGCTCTTATCATCATTAGCGTGTTCATACCTATAAACGATATCACATAACAGTACTTCAGCAATCTACAAGATCAAGTGTCTCTTCAGACACAGGATAACAGGTGGAATAGAAGCTACTGGAAGTTACCAAGGATGTGGAATGAGACAAAGGGCAAAGGAGCCACTCAGAGGGTCTCAAGATCAAACCTTTCCGGAAAGTCCCAAGGGAAGCCCAAGTCTCCAGGGGCATGAAATGTAGAAGGAGGGGCAAGGCTGGGAAGTCCCATCACTTGTAAGAGGAACAGGAGGCTTCCCTGATCCAGAGAGGGGACGAAGGGGCCACAGGAGGGACACACACTGAACCAGAGGAACAGGGAACTGGCTTCTCCTTAGTGGGCTGTAGTTCTCTGTACGCACGTCAGTGGTGCACCCAACGTAGTTCTCCTAGTAACTTTCAAGCTGGCACAGAAAGAACACAGCAACTCCTATTTCACTCAGTGAGCGCTGGGCCGCCTGCCCGCTGTGCTCTTGTAAATGCCCAGCACATCTAGATGAACTTTCATCAGACATGAACACTGTCACTCCACGCAGTCATCTTAGATTTCTAAGCTGGTTCACAAAATGACCCACCCACGGTCTTTACACCGTACCTGACAACCCCTATTCCAGGCCAGTTTGGGTCATCAACGTATAAGAGACCTGCTGTTCCCATCACCTCCTGCTTGAACTCCTCTCGCAGCTGTAGTGTACAGGTCAGGACTGGCAGCTGGCTCTGGATGCAGGCTACGAGCTGATCCACATCCTCTCCCCGAGTTCCTAAAACTGAACACGTGCACAGAATGTTAGGCAAACACTTAAGGAATGGCTAAAAATGAGGGGGCAGTGCTCCCACTTCTACTGTCAGAAAGTCAGCAGCTCTAGGTATAGCACATTAGCTGAGCTGAGGAGTTTAAAAAAAGAAAAAAACCCACTAAACCCAGATATGGAAGAATCGTGTTAAAAAATCATATAGCTGGCTGCCCAGGTGTAGACACATTTTTTCCTTACACCGAAGAATTAGCCTATCCGATTTAATACACAATGAAATCCTACCATAGAAATCAGATTCTTCTCACAGAAAGACTGCTTAAGTCAGGTTATAAACATCATAGCACAGGTTAGAAACAAGGAGGCGTCCACACAGTTCTCGCTCTATGTTCACATGGAGAGAAAGAGAGGGGTTTCAGGGAGCAAGGGTGGGGGGCAGAAGGGCAGGGTGATGATGGCTTCTGAAGGTCAGAGCCTGAGAGGTCTCCGGGTTCAGGGATGCAAGAGTCTTGGCAACATCACTGCACCCTCACTTCTGCTGATTCCAATGCTTATATGATCTAAGCCTCAACGTAGGTGGCCTGGGGTAGCCACAGCTAGCTTTTCCAGTTTCAGAGGCTAAACCTCTGGGGCTAGGCCCCCTGCATAGCAGGAGCAGAGACTCCTGGAAGGTCTGGAGGCCACTGGCTATCTTCACGATGGCTTTTCTGTGCAGGACAGTTGCCTGCACTTCACCACTTTGATGTTTTTGAGAAAATATCTTTCCAAAAATGTTGAAAACACCTCATGAAACACCATCAAACATTTTCTGAAAATGTTTAAATCGTCTCAGAAAAAAGCACAATCAGATTTTTAAGGCATCTCTTTTCAGCTTATTTTTAAGTGCCTACTATAAAATACGCCAACCACCATCCAAGCTATTTCATATTCATGATCTCACAGTTTAATCTTCACGTCACCACTATGAGGTGGTGGGGAACAGGTCTGGAGATAAGAAACTTGCTCCAGGTCCTACAGGTATGAAATGGCCGAGGAGGGGACAAGAATCCCCAGGACTTTGTCACAAAAGTCCACGTGCTTTCAGCTCTATAGTTCTCTAAAATGTCTACAACAGTGGTTCTTGACCTTCACTGGCCTATTGTGCCCAGGCTCCACTCCAAGTAAACCCAGTCAGTCAACCAGAATCTCTGCAGGTGGGGCCGAGGCGCTGGGAGTTTTCAGAGCTCCACAGGGATTCTAAAGTCAGTCTGGGCTGAGAACCACTGAACAGAGGGTCACAGGGCATCAAAACACAGGAATTCAATTGACTTCAGAGGTCTCTCTTTCTGAGAAGTTACCCCGGAAGGTTAATCTACCTAAACTCAGCCCAAAGGAAAAGGAAAAGCCTCTCCAGGGAGAGAAGAGAATATCACGGCCTGGACTTCGACAGACACAGCACTGGTGCTCCCAGAACAGCGACGGCGACCCACGAAGACTGGTTACCTGCCGCGGTAGTCAGGGGGCTGAACCGCACGCACGTGCCCTCCACCTCCAGATCCATGACCGTGAGGCCACTCGCGGGCACCAGCTGCTTCAGCTGTTCTCCCAGCTGCAGGGAAAGGGGCAGAATGAACACACTCCCACAAGGAGGGAATCCAGTGTCTCTGGACCTGCCCTCGTCCGCTCAGCCCAGACCCATGAGGCTACTGGAGGCTAGTTTCCTTTCACCTTTGATTTTCTTTGAATACTTATGGTACCTTGTTTTTTTTCCTTTTTTTTAATTAATTAATTAATTTTTGGCTGTGTTGGGTCTTCGTTTCTGTGCGAGGGCTTTCTCTAGTTGCGGCAAGCGGGGGCCACTCATCATCGCAGTGTGCGGGCCTCTCACTGTCGCGGCCTCTCTTGTTGCGGAGCACAGGCTCCAGAGGCGCAGGCTCAGTAGTTGTGGCTCACGGGCCTAGTTGCTCCGCGGCATGTGGGATCTTCCCAGACCAGGGCTCGAACCCATGTCCCCTGCATTGGCAGGCAGATTCTCAACCACTGCGCCACCAGGGAAGCCCACCACCTTGTTTTTAAAAACCGTAAATTTTACCTTTTTTCTTACTCAAAAATATAAGTTCACTATGGAAAGATCTAGGCAATACACGTAAAGTAAAAAAAAGAAAATTTACCCACAATACACCACTGAGAGACACACACTGTTGACATGTGGTATAACCATCCCCCACCCCCGGATCTTCTGGGTGTGTATGTGTGTGTGTGTGTGTATGTATGTGTGTCTTCTGTTGTCATAAAACATGACATTCTACATGCTGTGTAGTAATCTGCATTTTTTCACATAATTTGCAATGACCATTTCCCCTCTGCCATAAACATGCAGCTATGTGGTTTATACTGGCTGTTCTGAATGTCACTGTGTGGATGTACCATAATTTATTCACCAAAACCCCTAGGTTAGGCATGTCCAATGTTTTTTGTTTTGTTTTGTGTCTTTTTAGGCTGAGCCGTGCAGCTTGTAGGACCTTAGTTCCCCGACCACGGATCTAACCCTCGCCCCCTGCAGTGGAAGCGCGGAGTCCTAACCACTGAGGGCTTCTCCAGTGTTTTGCTAGGATTGGTACTGCTCTAGTGAACATCTTTACATCGTTTAGAATATTCTTTATACTCAAATCCAGGAGGTATGATTTCAGTGTCAAAAAGAAGCCAAAGCATAATGCTCTTGATCCATGTCGCCAGACTGCCAGAGGCGTGCAAGGGTCTGGCTCATGTGCTTCTGGTATCACCAGAGCTCCAAAGTGGCTGCACCGCAGGCCACGTCTTGCATGTTGTTGTTCAGCCTTACACAGCAGCAGGGAAACAGTCCCGTGAGGAACCGGCGGGAACAATGTTGACAGGACCTGCTGGAAGTCGTGCAGCACGTGGGGCTGTGGTCTGCTTAAGAAGCCCAGGACGAAGCCCCGCGCCTTCACAAGAGGCTCCCCCTGTGGGTTTCTGATTTCCCCGACAGGACCATGTATTATCCCAACCATCCAGGACGCAGAATAAAGGGCACGTGACAGCTGATCTTACCCAGCGGTTCAGTGAGTCGCAGGAGTGCCTCTCCTGGCTGACTGCTGACGGGGCCATGTTGGGCGCTGGGATGGCATTAAGTCCTGGATCTGACACACAACACAGAGAGGGGATTCGCCTCCCAGAAACACAGCTAACTACACAACACCCCTCCAACCCCGTTTCACTTAGCTCCCAACGTTAACCTGAGAGAAATGTCTCAACCGGAAATCAAATGTGTGTCTCACCATGAATGAACAAAATGGCACATACATACAACGGAGTACATACAGCCGTAAGAAGTAAGGAAAGTCTGTCACATGCTCAACATAATGTACCCTGAAGGTGTTATGCTAAATGAAATAAGCCAGCCACAAAAAGACAAGCACTGTATGATTCCACTTACATGAAGTAAAGCTGTCTAATTCAGAGAGACAGAGAGTAGAATGGTGGGTGCCAGGGGCTGGGGGGAAGGGGGAATGGGAGTTAGTGTTTAATGGGTATGAAGTTTCAGTTTTGCAAGACGAAAAAATTCTGGAGAGCTGTTGTCCAATGATGTGAATATATTTAACACTATTGAACTGTACACTTTAAAATGGTTAAGGTGGTAAATTTATGTTTTTTTAACCACAATTAAAATTTTTAAAAAATATAAATGTTACAGAGGGTTTAAAGCTTTCACTTTTTTTCTCATGAAAAATACATTTGAATATATTCTCACAAATAGAATTCTTAATTTCATTTAAAAAGTTTTTCTTTCAAGGAATTTTGAGGGAAAATCAAAGCATAAAATTATAAGTTACCAACCAGTCTACCAGCACTGAGCACCGTGCAGGGAAGTCAGAGACCCAGCAGCACACCAGGCCTCAAAACACAACTGGCTTCCTTTTGTTAAACGGTTGAGGTGCCTGCTTGTGCCAGGCACTGTGCTGGGCACGGGGTTATGATATGAGGCAGACAAGGTTTTTGTCAGGGTGGTGCTTACCTTCTATTGAAGAAGTAGCATAAGGAAATGAAATGAAATCACCATACACTGTTGTTAGGGCCTTGAAAGAAGGCGGGAGCTCTGATATAATGTGAGGGAGTCACCTTGGACAGGACAGGCAGGGAGGACCTCCATGAGGAGGTGGACGCTGCAGGGACCTGAATGGTGAGAAGGAGCCAGAAGAGCGAGAGCGAGGGGGACAGCAGTGCAGAGGTCCTGCTCTAGGAGACGGTGGAGTGTTCTAGAGACTCAGAGAAGACCAGTCTGACTGAAGAACAGTGAGCAGGAAGAGGAAGTCGGAGGGGAAGGCGAGGGCTAGGACCCGCAGGCCTTCCATCTGGAACGGAAGGTACGCAGGCTTCTGGGCAGGGAGGTGGCAGGATGTGGAGAGCGGCCCGGAATGGAGCGTGTGGAATGTATGGAAGTGAGAGGTCAGGTGAGAGGGGACCGTGGCTGTCAGGTGAAAGATAACAGAGCCCTGGACTGGGTAGGGGGCACTTGGGACATTCTTTAAAGATAGAGATTCCTAGATCCAGCTTACTGAGTCAAAATGCTCAGGAAGGAGGGCCCCCAGCTCTATTTTCAAGGGACTCTCTCTCATTCATTCCAGCACTAGTCCAGGGACTGGTGTTTGGAAAACACTGGTTTAATCATAGGAAACTGTCAGGAAAATGCTAAGGCAAATAGGTCTGGAGTTCTTGTGAACATTATTCAGTTTTTTTTTGAAATGATGATAAGATTCTAGCAATCAAAATATTTTGGATTATTTAGTTAACTTGAAGTGGTTTAAAATTCAAAGCCCTTAAACACAGAGAGAAAAATAACCCCCTTTTTAAAATCACCTACCTGAGCCTGGTAACTCCTGGAAAAATCTGAATACCACCACTGGCGAACTGAGCTCATCCTCCACCTAAAAGATGGAATCTGATTATTACCAAGTAACAGTAAATTTCAAACACCTACAAAGTCAATCAGTGAGCTTGGAAAATAGGCTACAGACATTGGCACTTAAACACATAAAGGGAATCCCTAGTGGTCCAGTGGTTAGGACTCGGTGCTTCCACTGCCTGGGCCTGGGTTCAACCCCTGGTCGGGGAACTAACTTCCTGCAAGCCGAAAAACACACTCACACACACACACACACACACACCCCACCACCAACAACAAAAAACCACATAAAAAAGTTCAAAGGAAGGGGGCTTCCCTGGTGGCGCAGTGGTTGAGAGTCCGCCTGCCGAGGCAGGGGACACGGGTTCGTGCCCCGGTCCGGGAAGATGCCACATGCCGCAGAGCGGCTGGGCCCGTGAGCCATGGCCGCTGAGCCTGCGCGTCCGGAGCCTGTGCTCCGCAACGGGAGAGGCCACAACAGTGAGAGGCCCACGTACCGCAAAAAAAAAAAAAAAAAAAAAAAAAAAAGTTCAAAGGTTAATTTCATTTGCTAGAGAAACAAAAATCAATGGTTTAGTAAAATTCTTAAGACATAATTATAAGCCAGTCCCGAGAATACATGGCTGAATTATAACATCTGACACTGATACCTTGAAAATGAAAAGTGGGAGGAAATTTTAATAATTATGGATAAACATGGGTCTAACGTGAAAGATAAAAAAAGGCAAGGAAAAAGTGGCACTAGAATCACTGTCGAGCGTCCGAGCTTTCAAGAATCCAGAAGTGACGCCACCTCAAGCAGGACTGACGGGAGCTTTTTCTACTCACCCTGTAAAACTCTCTGGGCAGGATGCAAGTCCTGCTGGCAATGTGGATAACCACAGTCTAGAACTGAAGCTACATTTTTCTAAATCATTGAAGCGGTACTTATACTCGAGACAGGCATCAGACAACTATCTTCACTAACAGATTTCATAACAGCTGAAGACGTCCACTGCATTAAGATTGCACAGCACTAGGTCCATGTTCTCCACTGAACGAATGTACAGTGAGCCGTCAGCTTTCCCGTGGGGTCAGCACACAAAGGGAGCGGCAATGCCCTTGACAGACTGCGGTATTTGAAGTGGGGGGAGGCGGGAGAAGGGAGAGAGGATCTCTAAGCATTTAACAATTCCAGTACTACAATTCTCGTCTTGAAACCATTTCCCAAGGCTCTGCCAGTGATGGCTCACTCGTAGGCCCACAACAGGATGTGCTAACCGGAGAGACAGGAAGTAGCTGGTGCAAGATCTTCTCTACTAAGCTTTTCAAAGGGACAGTAGATGTGATTCAGATCAAGCAAGAGGTACATTCAAATCTGCCAATTATTTATTGAGCCAATTCCTGTGCTTTCATAGGTACTATCTCCTTTAACTTTCACATAAACAAATAAATCTATTAATACCTTTAAAGTTAGAGGGGTTTAATATTTATATAGAACGGAGTAAGCCCAATAAGTAAAGAGGAACAAAGTGACAAAATTCTACACCCATTCCCCTATTCTCAGGATAAGGCAGAATGACTTGAGTACCAAGACTTTATAGTCTTTTGTTTCTTATTTCTTTGAGCTCAGTGGTCTCAAATGTCAGCCTGCACAAGAAATCCTGTACAGGGTTATATACATAGAATTCTGGTTCCAGCAACATGGTAGACCAAGCTAATACTTAAGTCATCAATTCTAAATACCTGAAATGCTTGATTAAATGTCACCAATAACCAAAAGAAGTTCAAACCATTGCTAGGCTCACAAAAAAAGGTGAATCCAGAAAGAAGAGAAAACAGAAAGAATAGTATAAGCTGAGCTGCAGGGGCTGGGGGGAGGGGAGCACGGATGGGGCCTGGAACTTCGCTTTAATGTCTAAGGTCATGGGTTTGAAACCCATGTGAGGGATAGTGCTGAGTTTACATAAAGCCAGGACCCTTGAAAAACACTCTTCATGAAAAGAGAGAAAAACTCCACCCACTGATCAGTAAGAAAGCTTAACTCTGCCTGATGCTCTGTAGAGAGAGAAAAAATTCTCTCACGAGAAATCAAAATGTCAGGCGTGCTCTGCACCTGGCTGGGATGTCCTCTGTAGTGTAAGACTCCTAAAGCTGTGAAACCAACATAAATACATGGACCTAGGCCAGTCAAAGAAAAAAAAATCTAGCTCATAACAGAAAAATTACAACACACACAGGGAGCAAGAGTCAGCAGACACAGCTGAGAGGACAATTTGTGGCCCCAAGGACCGAGACACTGAAACAACCATCAGAACAGACGTCGATCACTGCGTTTAAACAGAAACGAAGGACCAGAAATCTTTTTTTTTTTTAAAAGATGCTTAAGAAACAGAATAACTTGAAAAAGAACTAAAGAGAATATCCTGAAATGAAAAAGAGGTCACTGAAAGTTAAAACGCAGTGAATAGGTTAAACGGCAGATTAGATGCAGCTCCAGAGCAAATTACTGAACTCCAAGAAGGATCTGAAGGGCTACACCAGAAAGCAGCAAAGAGATGGAGGCATCCAAGAGACTGATGGAAGGTGGGATGACAAGGTTCAATATGCAGCTCACTGGTGTTCCAGAAGAGAAAGGGAAAGAGGTCATAGCTGAAAAAATGAATTTTACAGGATTAAATAAAAGAATCCTCAGGTTCAATTAGCACAAGTCCCAAGCAAGATTAAAAAAAAAAAATCCTTACTTAGATATACCATGGTGAAAGTGGCAGTACACTAAGGACCAGGAAAATCTTAAAAGCCAGCAGAGACGTAAACACGAAACCATGTTAACTGCCCCCCAGAGGCACTCTGGGATTTTCAGGTGTAAGAGTGACAATATTAGAGTTTCCCCTCACATGCTGTGGTTTTACTGGAGCTGCCACAATTCCATGGACATGCATCAAATCTGGAGAAAATCATTCTAACTCTTAAATAAATTAAGAGTTATTTACTTCAAAAAACAGATCAAATTATATACTATACCAAGATTTTGACGTGGTTCACTTTCTTCAAACTTTCTTGCAATCGCTGACTCTGCAAATGACAGAAAAACAGCTTATGTAATTTCATATTAAGAAGCGTTTTTTGTGGGGTTTTTTTTTTGCGGTACGCAGGCCTCTCACTGTTGTGGCCTCTCCTGTTGCGGAGCACAGGCTCCGGATGCGCAGGCTCAGCGGCCATGGCTCATGGGCCTAGCCGCTCTGCGGCATGTGGGATCTTCCCGGACCAGGGCATGAACCCATGTCCCCTGCATCAGCAGGCGGACTCTCAACAACTGCGCCACAAGGGAAGCCCAGAAGCGGTTTTTATGAGGGTCTTTGCAGGTCTGCAAACAAGGATCTCAGGCAGATAAAGCCATCTGCAACCTGATGATTTCTAATTTCAGCTGCCAATTTTTGCATTTAAACATCTGCAAATATTCCCCAATATTTCAGTTAAAAGTTACATTTAGTGGTTCCAGAAAAGCTTTTTCTAATGAGACATATGTGAATTTGTCATATTAGCAATATAGGTCATTCATTGATTCAAAAACTACTGAGTGCAAGGCAACAAAAGCAAAATTAAACAAGCAGACTATGTCAGACTAAAAAGCTTCTGCACAGCAAAGGAAATAATCAACAAAATGAAAAGGGAACCTATGAAATGGGAGAAAATATTTGCAAATCATTTATTTGATAAGGGGTTAATATCCAAAATATACAAATAACTCATACAATTCAACAGCAAAAAACCAAACAATCCAATTAAAAAATGGTCAGAAGATCTGAATAGACATTTTTCCAGACATAGAGATGGACAACAGGCACACGTAAAGATGCTCAACTTCGCTAATCATCAGGGAAATGCAAATCAAAAGTACAATGAGATATCACCTCACACCTGTTAGAATGGCTGTCATCAAAAAGACAAAAAATGACAAGTGTTCACAAGAATGTGGAGAAAAAGGAATGCTTGTGAACTGTTGGTTGCAATGTAAATTGGTGCAGCCACTGTGGAAAACATATGGAGCTTCTGCAAAAAATTAAAAATAGAACAACCATATGATCCAGCAAGTCCACGTGGGTTATCTGAACTGAAGAACATGAAAATGCTAATTCAACAAGATATGTTCACTGCAGCATTATTTATGATCACCAAGATACGGAAACAACTTAAGTGTCCATCAAAGGATGAATGGATAAAGGAGATGGGATACACACACACACACACACACACACACACACACACACACACACACACAAACACACACACAATGGAAAATAATCAGCCATAAAAAAGAATGAAATCTTGTCATTTGCAACAACATGGGTAGACCTTAAGGGCATTATGCTAAGTGAAATAATTCAGACAAAGACAAATACTATATGATCTCACTTACATGTGAAATCTAAAACAAAACAAAACAAAGCTCATAGCTACAGAGAAGACTGGTGGTTGCTAGAGGCGGGGGCTGGCGGTGGGTGGGTGAAAGGGATCAAAAGGTACAAACAGCAGTTATTAAAAATGAGTCATGGGGAATATAGTCAATAATACTGTAGTAACTTTTTTTTTTTGGCCACAACTTGCTGCTTGCAGAATCTTAGTTCCCCGACTGGGGACTGAAACCAGGGCCCAGCAGTAGAAGCACAAAGTCCTAACCACTGGAATACCAGGGAATTCCCAATACTGTAGTAACTTTTTTTTTTTTTTTTTTTTTTGGCAGTACGCGGGCCTCTCACCGCTGTGGCCTCTCCCATTGCGGAGCACAGGCTCCGGACGCGCAGGCCCAGCGGCCATGGCCCACAGGCCCAGCCGCTCCACGGCATGTGGCATCCTCCCGGACCGGGGCACAAACCCGTGTCCCCTGCATCAGCAGGTGGACTCTTAACCACTGCGCCACCAGGGAAGCCCCTGTAGTAACTTTAATACTGTATTGCATGTTTGAAAGTTGCTAAGAGAATAAATCTTAAAGGTCTTTATCACAAGAAAAGAAAATTTTTTGTTAACTATGTGTGGTGATGGATGTTAACTAGACGTATTGCGGTGATATTTTAACAATGCATACAAATATCAAATCATTATGATGTACTCCTGAAATGAATATAATGTTATATGTCAATTATACCTCAAAAACAAAAACAAAAAACCAGGGGCTTCCCTGGTGGTCCAGTGGTTAAGACTCTGTGCTTCCAATGCAAGGGGTGTGGGTTCAATCCATGGTCGGGAACTAAGATTCCACATACCACATGGCGTGGCCAAGAAAATGTTAAAAAACAAAAACAGAAAAAAAACAAAACCAAACTACCGAGTGCAAATGTGTGCAAGGCACAGTATTGATATTGGGAGGAAGAGCAAAGGTAAATGAGAGTGCATAGCACCGTTAAGAGTTGGTCAGGAGCGTAGGGTCTGGAATAACCACATCTGGGTTCAAAACCTGGCTCTTCCCCTTACCACCTGTGGGACTGTGGGTAAATTACTTATCTGCCACTTACTAGCTATGACCTTGGACAAGTTTCTCAGCCTCTCTGTGCTTCCGTTCCCTCAACTACATAGTGGGGTGACAGTATCTATCCTCCACAAGTTGATATACGTTAGGTGTCTAGAACGTGGCATGCATTACGTAAGTGATGACGACTGTCATCATCGTTAATATCTCAATCCCAGCTCTCTCATCACTAATGTGGGGACAAAATAACAATATACTGCATGGCCTGGGGGTCATTAATTCAACAGATGTTTATTTGAGTGTTGGACACAGGAAAACCCCTCATGAAAACTAATTAATATGTTATCAGTGGACCTTATATTCTGGGGAAGCTGTAGGGACCAAGTGAGAGCCTGCATCCACGGTGCTGCGCAGCGCCTGGCACTGAGTAAATGCTCAGGAACTGCTTCCCACGAAGACGAAGATGAGAAGGAGGAAGAAAAGAAGGACACTGATTTTTGCTTTCAGGAAACATGTGACCTGGTGCGGACTACAAAGGCAGGACTGGACACAGGCGACCACACCTGCTAAACCTCCATGCGGTTTTCACATGTGCATTTAGCAGCAGTGAGTCAGCAGCAGAGTCAAGTGCTCAGGAGGGTTTGAGATCCGCCACAGCGTTTGCTGGCAGGAAGATGCCAGAGCTGCAGTGACCTCAAGTGTTTGGTGGCTAATTGTCATCATTATTTTCCTGCGCCCCATTGAATTGAATTGAAAAACACTGAAGGGAACTGAAAAACACTGAAGGGAATTGAAAAACTCTCCTTGGAGTGCCCAAACCTTCCCCAAACTGACTTAGTTACCATGGCGATGAAGGCTTCTCCTTCCAAAGGACCAAACCTCAAGATGTGAGCCAACAGCCCAGTGAGAAAATGTTTTTAAAAATGTGGTGCTTCTGTAAACATAATGAACATAAATCTTAATATTACTTAATATAAAAATGAAACTACTTCATTTAGAATGTTTCTATTTCATTAGAAACTAATGTTAAAATGAACTATCCTAATATTATAAACCAAAGGACTCCTGCTACAGTAATATGAAAATACTAATTTTTCTTAAATATAAAAATGACATGAGGAAGTGTCAATTCCAAGAACATATTTAAAACAAAGATTTATTTTTAAAACTATCTGCATACCTTACTATATGACTAGGTGCTGCTATAAGAGCTTTACATTTACGAACTAAGTCCTCATAACAATCTTCCATCACATCATCACCCCTATTCTACAGGTGAGGAATTGGAGGTACAGAAAGGTGACATCATGCTTTAGACTTAGGTAGAACTCAGCTCTCAAACTGTGTAAATATGGCATTTTTTTTGCTTTCTAAACTACAACATAATTATATATTTTTCACAATTAGAACACCTCAAACAGAGAATTAAAATTGTCCCTAGAGCCTTGCAATTTGGGAGCCCAAGCTGGTGGCTGTTAAAAATATCCATGCCAGCCTTACTCCCCTCAACCATCATATTTCTTTACCCTCAAGAGTCGGTCAGTCAAGTGGAACATTTATCCCAGCTTCTGCATTCTTCTCCACTCCTTCGCTGTCACCTTGGGACTTCTTTTCTCCCCCATGCTGACACCGGCATTCATTTTAATCTGATTTCATATGGACACAAATGCTGGGACAGCCCCAGCAGTCTCTCCCAGAACTTTGAACAAGAAACCTATATATGCAGGGAAATTAGTCTGCTTGCTTATGAGATGGGAAATCCAGACAACAAGGTATTGGGGGGAGGGTAAATCAATGAAGCATTTTTCTGTCTCTGTTTTTGCCATGGAGTATCTGTGACTCATTTGAACTTCAGGTTTCTACTCACCAGCTGACAGGCATGCTTAATCCTCTCCACAATCCCATCAAGTCCCAAGTATTGTAAAGACAACCACAGTGGCAGAGCACGGAGCTTGTCTGTTGGCTTATTTGATGTAAGACCGGCAACTAAAGTCTAAAAAAGCCAATATGGGTTTATTAATCAAAGCCAATGAAATCACATAGCAGAACTAACTAGTTACCATTTACTATGCACTTGGTTTGTGTCAGATGCTATGCAGGCACTTGGCTTGCATTATTCATTTGATCATCAAACAACTCCATGAGGTAAGTATTCCAGGCAACTTAGCTCAGAGACCTTGCTTTGTCTAAGGGTTCATGGCTAAGATGTGGCAAAGCCAAGATGAGAATCCAAATGGGTTCATCCCAGAGCTGGAGCGCTTAGCCATTCAAGCGGCCCCTCCCAAGGCTGTTCTGAGCATCCTCAAACACCTGGCCATTATCACCGGAGCAAGGTATTAACTGTTTAAGAAGAATCAATGAAAGCTTATTTTGCATATGCCTCTCACTAACTGATCCACTAACAAGAACCACCACTATGCTTTTAAAAACTATATCATGTTACAACCTTTTAGACAATGTGGATCAAGAACCTTAAAATACTCTTACTCGTTATTAATTCCACTTCTGGGAACCCAGTGTAAGGAATAATTTGAAACACAGAATGATGCTCATTATTTTAGTAACAAAAATTTGAAAACAGCCTAAAAGTTCACAAATGGAGAATGATTAAATAACTGTGGTACTCAAGTGATGGAATATTACACAGTGATAAAAAGTTTTTCATACACATGGGGTAGTATAGGGAGACTAAATAGAAAAATATATATGGCATAGTTTCATTTATGTCAAAAACATTTTTTTCAAAAAAAAAGTCACAGAGGTAACATTAAGGAAAGTGTTCACTTTTTCCTTTTTCTGTATTTTGCCCCCAGACCCAATGATTATTAGCCACTCCCCACTCCCTCCCAGTGAGAGTAAGCTTACCAAGGCAGGATCGTCGTGCTTATAAAGCGTCACAGCAGGAACTGCTGGCAAACCCAGCCATGGGCCTGGAGTCAACGTCATGCTGTCACATTTGGTTGCAGCCTACCACAGAGAGAACAACTTCTTGTTACACTATCAGGATACACTAAACCCAACACCTTTCTCCATTCATAAAAACTGTGAAAAGCCATCAGGGATTAGGTGATGTTAAATTCCTTCTTAAAAACACAGTATTTAGTAAATCAACAACATACCAGCACTGATGAGGAGACATAACCTAGAGCCAATGTTGCCAGATTCACACTGGAAGAAAAAACACAGACCTAAGAACTAATTACTTACTGCTGCTTATTCACTAAGTACACATTTTAAATTAAAAAAAATTTTTTAAAAAGGGCTGTGCTGTTCCACACTGACATTTACATGTCTTTCAGCTGTGTTGGTAGCTTTTATAACAGCAACATAAAGTGTGGTACATATACAACTTTCAGGAAAACCTGGAAAATGCATTTTAATCAAAACGTATTTCAGGGGGTGTCATCTACTTACTTAGTGTAATGGGTGTCTTATTTTATATTATTTTATATCTTTGGTAGATACCAGTATTATTTCCCAGTCATCATTCTTTCCCAGAGGGACAAATTAAAAAGCAACGCACCGTGTACGTGTATGATGTCCTGGAAATGGACTACTTGGGCTGCCCTGCATCCTCTCCCCTCTCTTCTCTTAGCAGCAGTCCAATGGCCTTCTGGGAAGCCACCCCAATCTCCTCTATGAGACCACAGCTTCACAAATCACCTAAACTATTAAGAGTGTTACATTTCCCTCGCCACAGCAACTGGCTCAGTATGAGACTCCTGCTGGGACTTCTGACCCTCTGCACACACCTGGAAAGGCGGATGGAGTTGCTGCAGCAACTCTGCACCAGAAAAGGAAAGGCTATCTACAGACGGAGCCACCACCATGGAGGAACTTCAGCCAAGTGACCTGGCTGACGTGGTGCCTAAGGCCAATCCTAACACTTGTCTTCTTAGCTACGGGAGCCAATAAAACTTCTTGCTTAAGCCAATTTGGGTAATTTTGTAATCTGCAAGCCAAAGAGCCCTTAGTGATATATGTGACGACAAAGTGAGCTCCTCCTGGGCACTCTGCCAGCCCACCATGCAGCCAAATTCCCCTCCACTCACCCTTTCACGTGGAGCCATATGCCGTACTGCTCACAGAGCTCTTTCAAACGCCCAATCTTATCTGTGTGCCCTACTGCTGCAGTTCCTAGGATAAAACACACAAGAAAGGATACTAAAACAAATATTTTCTGAGTCTTTGCAGCATGATAAAATCTTCTATATACATTATCTCTCTATGAGAGAAGTAACACTGTAGCTCTGTTTTATTGAGATTTTCTTTGTGGACTGGCTTAAAATCAACTTTTGCAAACTGGTTATTCAAGTTTTGAAGAGTGTGTATTGTTCACTATATGTATCTATAAAATCAAACTTGTTAACTGTGTTATTTAAATCCTCTATATACTTATTTTCTATTTACTTGATCTGATGTTTCATGAGAAATATATTCAAGTCTCCCACCAAGATTGTGGTTTTGTCAATTTATACTTGTATTCTATCAACTTTTCCTTTATATATTTCAAAGTTATATTCATAAGCATTCATACCTGTTATATCTCTGAGTAGATGCCATGAATCATTATTAATATGAAGTCTATTTTATCTCACAGCAACCTTGCTACAGTACTTGTGTTTCGTTAGCATTTGCCCAAGATATCCCTTTTCCACACTTACTTTTTATCACTTTCTGGGTAATTTTTATTTAGGTGTGCTCTCTATAAAAAAATACATAGATGAATTTGTTTTGTTTGTTTTAACCAAATTTGAGAGGTCCTTTGTGGTTTTTTTGTTTGTTTTCTTTTTTGTTTTTTGCTGCACTGCACGGCTTGCAGGATCTCAGTTCCCTGACCAGGAATTGAACCCAGGCCATGGCAGTGAACGCGCAGAATCCTAACCACTAGACCACCAGGGAATTCCCGAGAGGTATTTTGTTTTAGTATAGAAAGCATTCTGAAGTCAGTTGAAACATATTACACACTTTAACCCATTCCCTAGGTGATCTGTTTACACTGCAGGCTTTGCTGGGCAGATCCTCCTCACAGAGCCTTTAGTAAAAGGCACAGTCACACATTCTCCCAACTGTCCTAAATTTCCAGTTAGCAGAACCCACCTAACAAGATTTCTAACGCTCTTCAACAAACACAACTAATACAAGTGCTTCTTTTGCAGGGGTTATGCCAGGAAAAGGGCTGACAACTCCACTCCTCCCCCCATCCAAATTTGTCTCAAATTTTTTAAAAAAATCTAAAATGACACATTTAGTTTAGTTGAAACAAGATCAAAGGCCAACGCATGGGTTGTGTCACATGAGCCATCAAAACATAAAGCATTGTGCCGTGTTTAAGTGACTGGACCACATTCGGGCTCTCTTCCTTTTGTGGCAACGCCCGCTTGCTAACCACTGGGACGTGCACTCTGGTGACAATGTAGTCACACTGGTAAACCACTCAATCACGTGTAAACTGCAGCCTCTCCCATCTATTAAGTGATTGATAGTAGACTGGTTATGTTTCTTTCTTTTTTTTTTTTTGCGGTACGCAGGCCTCTCACTGTTGTGGCCTCTCCTGTTGCGGAGCACAGGCTCCGGACGCGCAGGCTTAGCGGCCATGGCTCACAGGCCCAGCTGCCCCGCGGCACGTGGGATCTTCCCGGACCGGGGCATGAACCCGTGTCCCCTGAATCTGCAGGCAGACTCTCAACCACTGCGCCACCAGGGAAGCCCAATCTCACACTCTTTTATTTGTAGCTGTACAGTAAGTCTAAAAGTCAGATAGGATAAGTCTTCCAGTGTTGTTCTTTTTCACAATTATTTTGTCTCTTCTTAGATCCTTTTATGTCCATATAAATTTTAAAATCAGCTCATCAATTTCTATAAGAAATGGGAAGTCTGCTGAGATTTTGATAAGGATTGAGTTGAATCTATAGATTAATTTGGGGAGATATGACTTAATAATATTGCGTCTTTCAACCCATGCACATGCCATATTGTTCCATTTATTTGGGTCTTCTTGAATTTCTCTCAGCAACATTCTGTAGTTTTCAGTGTACATATCTTGCCTTATTTTGTTAAATTTATCCATAAAGGTTTTTTTCTTGATGCTATTATGAATGGCATTTAAATTTCAATTGTTCATTGCAAGCTTGATAGATCTGCTTATTAGTTCCAATGGCTGTTCTTTGTGGTTTCCTTAGGACTTTCTACCTATACAATCATGCCATCTGCAAATAAAGACAGTTTATTCTTCCTTTCCAAACTGTATGTCATTTAATTATTTTTCTTGCCTTACTCCACTATCTAGAGCTTCAAGTACAATGCTGAATACAATGTGGTGAGCACAGCAGAAAGTGGTAGCTGACCGGCTGTCTCAAAGGTGGACATTTAAATGTGACATTTAAGAATTTAATTTAGGGCTTCCCTGGTGGCACAGTGGTTAAGAATCCACCTGCCAATGCAGGGAACACGGGTTTGAGCCCTGGGCCAGGAAGATCCCATATGCCACGGAGCAACTAAGCCCGTGCGCCACAACTACTGAGCCTGCGCTCTAGAGCCTGCGAGCCACAACTACTGAGCCCACATGCCACAACTACTGAAGCCTGTGCACCTAGAGCCCGTGCTCTGCAACGAGAAGCCACCACAATGAGAAGCCCACACGTGCAACAAAGAATAGCCCCTGCTCGCTGCAACTAGAGAAAAACCTGCGTGCAGCAACGAAGACCCAACACAGCCAAAAAAAAAAAAAAAAAAAAATTCAATTTAGAAAGGAAGCATATGAAGGAATAGAGAAGCACAACCTAAATGAAAAAGTATATACACACAAACAAGAACTCCCAAAACAAACCAACAATTAAGGGAATCTAATGAGCTAAAACTTTAGTACTGTAATTCTCACCACAGTGCTGATACCGACCTTCCTTAAACATGTGGCACACAAACATTCTTAAGACTTGATCTCTTTTAGGCTAACTATCTAGCCTCTTTCTTGTATGTCCAAAATGGAAGATTCAGGTTCATGATACCTACCAGCATTTGCAACAAGCAACAGGGGCAGTTTTCCTCGTTCTATGTCATCTTTAATCAGTTTCTCCAGGAAGGCAACGTCCTGGGATTGAAAGACAAACCACAAAAACATGAGACAACCAGCACAAAAGCGTATACACTGAAAAATTCTAACTTCTAAAAGAAGATGACTCTCAAAATTTATCAGAGCAATTCTTTTCTTGACAATTTTCCTTTTTTCTCCAATCACAGTTGTGAAAATAAAATCGTTTTCCTTGAAGACTAACTAGAAAAATCAGTTAAATGAGATTCAAGTTAGAAACTGGACATACAGAACCAACATTTCTCTAGTTTTAAACATTTACAATAAAAAAGAATGTTCTCTCAAACCCCCACCCCCCCACCAAAAACAACCAAAAATGTATCTCTGATATTACTCATTGACGTATCTGAACCAGAAAATCTAACTACCTTGAAAAAGAAATGCAGAGGGCTTCCCTGGTGGCACAGTTGTTGGGAGTCCACCTGCCGATGCAGGGGACACGGGTTCGTGCCCCGGTCCGGGAAGATCTCACATGCCGCAGAGCGGCTGGGCCCGTGAGCCATGGCTGCTGAGCCTGAGCGTCCAGAGCCTGTGCTCCGCAATGGGAGAGGCCACAACAGTGAGAGGCCCGCGTATGGCAAAAAAAAAAAAAAAAAAAAAGAAACGCAGAACCCTAAAACCTATCCCTTTTGCTTCTGACTTCAGTATGGAAAGGCTTATCACTTGCATGTCTAAAAATATGCAGAATCCAATGCCAAGGATTACAATAATCAAAATCTGCCCATTCACAAATCCAGGCAACAGTGATAACCATTTGAAAGAATGAGCTTTAGAAGGAATTTCTGAGGCTTAACTGGACTCCATGTTTCTACTTAAAACAGGTGATACAGTGATTACAAGATTCCTTAAGAGCCAGGTGCTCCTCACCTTTATGCCAGCCAATCTTCCTGGACATTCAAACCTGGCAGCATGTATTATGCAATAGGAAGATCTAAGCAATCCATGAATAAGCTAATAATTATCTGGAGGCCAGCAAACAGAACTGCAGTTTAAAGGAAGGTACGGTTTCAAAACACAATTCTTTATTATTTTATAAACCTAAAGAACTCACCATCTGATGCTGGGATCCAAACATAGTGTTACAGGGTACACGACACAAGCAGGGGAAGGGCAAGCCAAGCTGCAAGAAGAAACATGCAATTTTACAAGAAAGATCTTTGTCACCATTCCCTTATGTCCCCAAAAGATTGTGGCTCTAAGTCACAATTATTCTTTTTAAATATCCTCTCTCCTTAGGAACTCGCAATATGAGCATTTGGGGGGATAATTCAGAATCCTTCCTCCAAGGATAAGTGGTAAATAACACTGGCTAAAGGCATTCAAAGTACAATATCTTATTTATGGGTCCACCCATTCCTAAAAAGCAATAGATATGGACTAGCAGATGTACATCTCTTGAGAGAAATGAAGTCAGCGTTATGGAGACAGTAATTGTCGAATAAATTTTATATTCCTCATTTTTAGCTTCCAAATCCTTAAGGAGTATATGTTTTAGGAATTTTTTTAACATTTGCAGCATATTGCTCTGTATAACTAAAACTTGGAAGCATTTAAAGACCAAAAATTTAACAAGCACTTTATTCACACTTTATCCCCTTAAAGAATTTTTCTTTTAAATTATGAAAGTGAAACCCAAGTAAAACACACAATAAAAAATTATAGAAATTAAAAGTGAAAATCCCCCCCCATAAGCAGATAATTGCTAGGCAAAAATATATATATTTTTCTAGGTATAAAAAACATATGCATATAAGTATGTACACACTTTTTAAAACATGAACATGACTATTCTGCCACCTACCTTTCCCACTTAACAGAACACTCTCACACATCTTTCGCAGATTGGACTGCTGTTCCAAGACAGCTCTGGGTCCATAAGAGCCTGGCCTACAGTAGGTACTCAATAAGTAATTTGTTTCATGTTTCTACAGAGATATTATAAAACTCCTTATTTTGTACACCCTCAAGAAGAGGACATAATTTCTTGCCACCAATGACCACAGCTCAGAATCAACTTAAGCCCTGAGTTTCCCCTATGTATCTCCCTGGACTCCTCCATCTTACAAAAGACAACCCCTCCAATCCTATGGGTTTTACTTTAAAACATTCTTGGCCAAGAGGCTTAACAAATTCTTGACTCAAGGTAGCCCTGTAATCAGGCTACCATGAACTTTAAAAAATGGTAATGCAAAAAAAAAAAAAAAAAAAGGTAATGCTCTTTGATCTAATAATTCTAGACTGGCTCTGAAAATCCATCTGAGGAATACAACCCAAAGTATAGAAAAGCTTCATGCACAAAGATGTCCATAAAAGCACTATACGAAGAGCACTTCCTCAAAATGGTCATAAAAAGCAAAAGAATGTGAACACTCTAATTACCCAAAAGGGAAACAGTTAAAATACTATATACTCACTTGAAGGAATATTATGAAGATATTAAAAACATACTTTACTTTGGAGAACTGGTAAAACATGATATGAACCTGTATAACAGTAAGTGAAAAAAGCCAGCTATAGCTATGTAAAAACACACATACACTCTGATTAAGCCAAGTCTGAAAGGAAATAAAGTAACGTGTTGACTGTGGTTGCCTTTGGGCAACTAAAAAAAAATACATATATATATATCTAAATTTATTAATACACATTTATACATAATAATGACAAAACAAGCTTATAAGAAAATCACCTTTCTTTTCACTTGAAAAAAACAGCAGCTAAAGAAAAACTTCCAGGACAGAACAAAACATCGTTTCTTTAAAATATCCACCTTATGCCGCATTACCTGATTACAGAGGTACTGGCCCAGGCCAGGCCTAGCAGCAGCACTTAAATATATAACAGGCGTCTTGTTATATAACACATTGAACCCATCCACCACAAAGTCTTCATAACGGGAATGAATGGCAAGCCTACAGATCTTTGCAAGTCCTTCTCTTTCTTCTTCGTGGAAATAAGCACAGCCATTTTCATACCTGTTAAGAGACACCCATATGTCAGTATGTTCTTATCTCTGATATTATATCCCAGTCTTATAACCATGGAAGTAATTCTTTTCTCAATTCCTATCTCAGTGAAAGGAGATCGGAATCACCCTCATCTCAGTGGGCTGACACCTCACTGCAGCTGGAGGTTATAAAGAACAGAGGCAATGACCCCTCATCCACACCCAGCTCCAGAAAGAGCAGAAACTATGAAAACCAGTAGAGAATGGGAATCCCTCAGATATAAAAAGGCTGAAGATCATGCACTGGCTTACTTTACAATAAAGCCAGCACTGGATAATGCAGGCATGGTTCTTAGTAGTTTCAGCCCTAAAACATCCAAAGTTAAGTGAAACTGTCAAAAATGCTAGTCAGCCTAACTTTTGCTTTCACTAATATCTGCCTGGGACATTTTATTCTTCTCATTCTCCAAAAAGAAGGACAGAGAGATTTTCAGTTACAGGTATTGGATTTTTATTAGAACAGAAGAAAATTTCTCCTTTGCCATACAGTTAGGCAAATTCATACTCTCGCCAGGTCAAGCTCTTTCCCAGCATCTGAAAATAAGTCTCCTAAGTTAAATGTTCCAACGTTAGGTAAACATTCCTTTTCCATAAACGTAATAGCATAAATAAGCACAAAATACCATTGGTCCCATTTCTTCTACTGACTCCTCAGTCTGCTAGAATTCCTTAATAATGCCAATATTATCACAGTATAAAGCAAATTTCAATTTCATAACACATACTCATCTTCCTTACGACAGCATTTCCTTTTTACTAAAGCACAGCTAATACTTTGATTAAAAATACTTGAACCTATTCCACTGCTGTACCTTCTATCAACATGTGCCAATTAGGAATCTTAAGAACAAGTAACTGTGGACATTATCCAACATGTATGTGCTCATGTTCTCAGCTCTTTACATGTATTAATTCATTAGTTCATGTAATCCTCACAACAATGTCATCAAATAGATATTAAGGCTATCCCCATTTCATAGATAAGGAAACTGAGGCATGGAGTGGTTAAGCAACGCTTCCAAGAGGAAAGGGAAGAGGCAGAGCTGAACCCAGGTAGCATAGCTCCAGAAAATAGATCTCTCACAGTCTATAACCAACGCATAAATGTCTTTACCAGAAACTAAAAACTTATTACCTGAAAATTCTGCATAGCCATAAGGTAGTGTCTGAAAGTATCCTAGTTGTAAGTTTTCTCAGCTTCTCTTTGTCCAGAGTTGAAATGTAAGCTCCCAGACTGTGCCCCAACAAAGCTATATGACCTTGTTCTCCAATATTCTGGATTCTGTTAATCAAAATTTATTAGATTAAAAAAAAAGTATTAGTCAAAGCATAAATATATAAAACACAGAGACACATTATTCCACAGAAATTTCTGTCAGACTTGAAATGCATTTAATGGCCTAGAAGGCAGACACTGAGATACATTTAGAAAATTCAATGCATAAGGTATTAATAGTTTGGGGGGAAATTTTTTTTTTAAATTCAAGTCCTAGGAGATAAATATCCTTTTTATTGAATACCAACTAAATACACAAACTGTTTTTGAATAATTTTCTCCAAAAAAGTTTTTTAAATTAAATACCAGTTGAAGAACTATGGAGAGTAGAGCTAAAATGTGCAGAAAATTTAATAATCAACAGACGAAGATCAATTCCCTGCATTAAATAGCTATTTATAACAACACAGCACATTCAAGGGGAACTAGGTATTGTTTTACATATTATTAAAGTGGATGGACTAATTTCCCTTATAAAGAATAAATGTAAAAAGAAAAAAACAAAAAATTGACAGGATACTGGGCAAAGGAGACAGTTCATAGAATAGGGAATATAAATGTGTCTTAAAACATACAAAAGACACTTAATCTGGTTCATAAGAAAAATGCAAACTAAAACTATGCTGAAATATCATTTCTCACCTATCAGACTGGCAACGATCCTTAAGTCTGCTAATACCCTTTCAGGCAAAGGTGTGGGGAAAGATGTACTTTCACACATTATGGGTGGGAATGTGAATTGGCACAATTCCACGAAGGGAAATTTGGCAATATCTGTCAAATTTACAAATGCACAAACTTATCTGGCCCAGCAATCCCACTTCTAGGACTTTAACCTACAGAAACACTTCTTCTATGAGAAATGACACATGCACAGAGTTACTGGCTGTTGGAATGTTCGTAAGAGTAAAACATGAAAAGGAGACTGGTTAAATAAAATATGGCTCATCCATTTAGAGTAACACTAAACAGCTCTTAAAGGAGAAAGCTCCTTGTATACTGCTATGCCAGGAACTCCAAGACATAAATGAAAATAGCAAGTCACAGAACAACATGCATAGTATTTAGGTACTGGAGGGGGTGAGCACAGACATTTTGCTTGGGTGTACATACACATGAAATATCTCTGACGAATACACAAGAAACTGGCAACTTATCTCTAGGAAGGAGAACAAGGTAGGGAGGCAGAGGTAAGAAGGAAAATTGCCTTTGTGTATACACCCTTTTTATCTTTTGAAATTTGAACTGGAAGAATGAATTACTTACTCCAAAAAAATTAAATTTAAAACTATTAAACAGAAAATGAAACTAAATAAATTGCTTGATAGATGCATAAACAGAAATAAAATAAACAGATGATTCACAAAGTGGCCTGCCACCAATGAATTCAGCTGCAGCACTTCTCAGCAATCAGAGGCGGAAGCACAGGAGCAGAAGCAGTCAGAAACAGAAAAGCACACAGCAGCTATGCTCTGGCCCCTGTGCCAGCCCCTCCCTAAGACACAAGACCATAAAAACGACAAGATTTTAGTAAATGACTTCCTTTTACAAAATATATTATCTAAAATATGTCAATGTCTCTCTGAAGAAACTGAACATCATTTTAATATCACATGTAACTAGGAATTAAATATAGCTTATTACTGCAGCAACTTGTGAGAATGCAATCATTATCAAAATCAAGAACACATATACTTTCAAACAGAAGCTGCCAACTGTTCTCCATTACCGGGTACTCTGGGGCTCCTCATCTTCATCTCCGTGCATCAGATTCTGAACTAACTGGAGGATGCTCACCATGTCCTGTCCACTGCGGAACAGAAAAACAGCTGACAAACAGGTGGAAACAGCACACATCCCTCACCAGTCTCTCACTATTTTCTCTCATCTAAATTAGCTTGACATGTTTTCTTTTTTAACTGAGGAGCTACGAAAGAAATAATGTGTTTTGAGATACAGTATACATCATTTTTAAAACAAACCTCAAATTATCAACTGAATTCTGAATATAACCTTACTTGTGATTAATCTTCTGCCTAAATATTAATTTGATTTTTAAAAATTTCACCTGCTTTAGCAATATTTCTCTACCTGTTCATTTGAATCTTGGAGACTATTTAATAAGCATGTAATAAGGGCCGAAGTAGTCCTTATAAGCTGTTGGAAGGTCACAAAAGCAGCAAGAATACTCCAGTGCCACTGGTGTATCTAGCTTCTCTCCATGTGGGAGTCTTGTCTGTTTGTTCTAACAGAGCTAAACATGAAATGCAAGCATGATTTATTATTACCTCTTCCCCAAGCTGGGGAAACTGCAGATTCACTTGCAGTATAAACACTTACTTCTATCCAAGATATGTTTTTAAATGCTCATCACATGAGGAGGTGGAAACTTATGAGAAGAATGTGAAAGGTGAAGTTCTAAGCAATGGCAAGGCAACTTGTAAAACATGTGATGTCAAAATACTATCACTTTATTAATGAGAATGTGACTAATAAAAAGTTCTCTCTTTCGGGCTTCCCTGGTGGCACAGTGGTTCAGAATCTGCCTGCCAATGCAGGGGACATGTGTTCGAGCTCTGGTCCAGGAAGATCCCACATGCCGTGGAGCCACTAAGCCCGTGTGCCACAACTACTGAGCCTGTGCTCTAGAGCCCGTGAGCCACAACTACTGAAGCCCGTGCACCTAGAGCTTGTGCTCTGCAACAAGAGAAGCCACTGCAATGAGAAGCCTGCGCACTGCAACAAAGAGTAGCCCCCCCTTGCCGCAACTAGAGAAAGCCCATGCACAGCAATGAAGACCCAATGCAGCACCCCCCCCAAAAATGTTATCTCTTTTCAAAAAGCACCATCAAAACAATGTCCCCAAACCTATCTTCCTCAAGGTGCTGACCTTCACGTGTGAGGGACTCTGATCCTTGGACATTGTGTAAAGATGAGGCCACATGACCTCGAGCAAGCTACTGAAACTCACGAAGCCCTACATTATACAACTGTGAGGATGCTGTTAGTCCATGAAAAGCACCGAATGCCACGCCTGGGGAACTGCTATCTCAGGCGCTGGCTATTAGCATTATTAGTGTGAGTACTCCTGACCGGTGACATTAATGCCCTCCCACTCTGAGAATTACGGATGTTCTTGGTAGTATGTCTTCTAGGGAAACTTCTGTGGGATGAGTGGAACGCTTTAATTCCCTTCAGTAGGCCTGGGATGAGGAGACTTACAAGATTTGGTTCCTGTTCTCAGCTGGAGAATGAACTTCACCCGTAGAGGACTTCAAGTCAGCACCCTTCATCTACAAGCAGGAGTGCTTATTTTAAAACGTTAGTACCTGGGGACTTCCCTGGTGGCACAGTGGTTAAGAATCCACCTGCCACTGCAGGGGACACGGGTTCGAGTCCTGGTCTGGGAAGATCCCACATGCCGCAGAGCAACTAAGCCCGTGCGCCACAACTACTGAGCCTGCGCTCTAGAGCCAGTGAGCCAAAACTACTGAGGCCCGCGTGCCTAGAGCCCGTACTCTGCAACAAGAGAAGCCACTGCAATGAGAAGCCAGCACACTGCAGCGAAGAGTAGCCCCTGCTTGCTGCAACTAGAAAAAGCCTGTGCGCAGCAACGAAGACCCAATGCAGCCAAAAAAAAAATTAGTATCTGGGTGTGTTAGATGTGACATTTATTGGCACACTAGGATCCTTCCTCTATACTACTCTTTTGCAACATACTTATTGTACATATTTATATTCAAGTCAAAGGACAACTTAAGGGAGTTGTACTATTTACCTACGTACAGTTTCCTGGTTATAAAAAAAATAATAAGTTTGTCTGAGGGAAACTGGGCCGGGACTTTAACTCCAGATAACTCCAGATTGAGTGCTAACATCCTGTGAAAATGTTAGTTGGATAACTACTTATTTTTCTGACTTCTTCCCTGATAGCTCAAGTCACAAACACTTGACAGATTTGCTTTAGTTGCCAAAAAATAAACCACTCTGCTAATAAATTAGAGTTGACATTTTCCTTTCATTTACTATATAATAAAATGATAAATCTTATCAAGTTAAAATAACTCTCACAATAAAGCTCAGTCTACCAAACAGATTACTGGTTTCAAGGATGAATCAAGTGTGATAGCTGAGTTATGAGTTTGTGTATCACTTCTGAGTTACAAGGTTGTGTTAAACTCTGAACGGGAAAGGGGGAGAAACAGTAGGTTTAGCGTTATCACCAACCAACCAATGGCATTTCAGTTTTCTGTTACACTACATATAACTCTCAATTTGCTTTGTGCTCATTAAAACTAAAATTGTAAGTCAGTGATGGTAAAATCTTGGTTTAAAGAAAGTGTACACCCTAAGTAAAGGTACTTATCTTCATTGCCACCTACCTGCCTTGCAGTGGCCCTGGAATATCCCCTGATAGGAGCTTCTTTCCATTTTCCTCCTCTGTTCTTCTAATTTAAACGAAATAAAAAACTGTTAACCTTCTAACATTTGAGCATGAACATGTGATAACGTTGCTCACAACCTCTTAGTAACTGATATGAGATTTGAAACACACATCTCGCCTTCTCGTCCCAGCCCCCAGGCTGGGGTAGGGTTTAGTTTCAGGAAAATAATATTAAAAATATAATAATACTTCAAGCCACTTCTTGGTTAGTTGATGCCCTATATGACCTGAATATACAGTAAGAAGTATTTATAGATTCAAGTCAATATATTAAATAAATGAAACTCTTAGTAGGCAGGACTGAAAATTATAAGTCCTGTCCCTTAATTTCAAAATCCTTTAATTACAAAGCACCTTATACCCAAGACAAATACCAATTTTAAATTCAGCTGAAGCTAAGTGTGACGTTCTGAAACCAAGAGGTGTCTTTTTTTTTTTCATCTTTATTGGAGTACAATTGCTTTACAATGGTGTTAGTTTCTGCTTTATAACAAAGTGCATCAGTTATACATACACATATGTTCCCATATCTCTTCCCTCTTGCGTCTCCCTCACTCCCACCCTCCCTATCCCACCCCTTTAGGTGGTGACAAAGCACCGAGCTAATCTCCCTGTGCTATGCAGCTGCTTCCCACTAGCTGTCTACCTTACGTTTGGTAGTGTATATATGTCCATGCCTCTCTCTCGCTTTGTCACAGCTTACCCTTCCCCCTCCCCATATCCAAGTCCATTCTCTAGTAGGTCTGTGTCTTTATTCCCATCTTACCCCTAGGTTCTTCATGACATTTTTTTTTCTTAGATTCCATATATATGTTAGCATACGGTATTTGTCTTTCTCTTTCTGACTTACTTCACTCTGTATGACAGACCAAGAGGTGTCTTTAACAGAAGGAAACTAGTGCTGTCAGTTTCACAGCAAGTTGAACACATTTAATGGGTCACTTCTGTTCCACAGGCTCACCTCTGACTGTCCTCTAGCATCTTCATGGCCTCCTTCAAGTTTTTTCCCATTTCAGCTAGTGTAGGGTCTGCTATCTGGGAAACAAATTTTCAAAAGGTTAAATTTTAACAACCCTCTATTACTTCTGCAACATAATTCATCCAGAAAAACTAAATGCAAGTCCATTTTCTTCTGGATTTATTATAAAATACCTGCATTATTAAAGAACATGTTTGATTTTAAAATTTCAACAGTACAAAGGTATAACATAAAAAAGTCCCACTCCCCAGGGGAGGCCACTTTTAAGTTTGACGTATATCTCTCCAAAGTTTCACTTTGCTCATATGCACCTCTCCAAGTTGCTTTTTTCTGCTTTATAGTGACTATGGTTCCATGTCAGCAGGTCCACTTCATTCCTCTTAGTGGTTACACCTTTTTGCATCTGATGGATGTATTATAATTTACTGAACCAGTCCTGAATTAATGGACCCTTAGGTTATTTCAGTTGTTCACTATTAGAAGCAAGGTCCAGAAAAGTATGTATAGTATACTATTCATTTTACTGTTGTAGTAGGCTGAAAAATAGCCCCCCAAAGGATATTCACATCCTAATCCCTGGAATTTGTGAACATTACCTTAAATGACAAAGCCTTTGCAGATGTGATTAAGGATCTTGAGATGGCACGATTACCCTGAATCATCCAGGTGAGCCCTAAATTCAATCACATGTATCCACATGAGAGAATTGGAGGGAGACCACACAGAGAGAGAAGACTATGTGACGACAGAGCAGAGAGAGATTTGAAGATGCTGGCCTTGAAACTGGAGTGATGGAGCCACCAAACAGGGAAGGATGGCTGGCAAGCAACATAAGCTGGAACAAGAAAGGAAGGGACACTCCCCCCGAGCCTCTGGAGGGAGCGCAGCCCTGCCAGCCCTTGATTTCAGCCCTGCGACAGTGATTTCAAACTTCTGGCCTCCAGGACTGAGAGAGAATGTATTTCTGTTGTTCTAAGCCACCCAGTTTGTGCTCATTTGTTACAGCAGCCCCAGGAGACTAATACGCTCAAACATCTGCAAGTGCTTCTAAAAACTTTGGGAAGCTTACACAAGCTAGCCATAGTGATTGCCTCCAAAGAATGGCTACAGGGGTCAGAGAGAGTCTTTTTAGTTCATATCCTTTTGTTCCTTTTGGATTTTAGTACCATGTGTACATCTATCTCCCATTCAAAACATAAACGAAACAAATTTTTAAACATTCTTGCAGAATTGAAACACTCATTTTCCTTTCTTCTTACATCTCCGTAAAAATTTTTAGAGAGACAATCTTGTTGCCCTGAATCTCTGTATAGTATGAATTGGGTTATAAACAATCACAGAAGCTCTCTCTTGTTCCCCCTTTACTCTTCAAATACACTTCAAGTGTATTTATCTGCTTTTCTCTTCATATTCTCTTGTACCTCGTAATAGTTTACACAATGTAGATGTGCAATGAGTGTATATTACCTTTAGTACTGTGTTACCTCCTCAAAATTGTTTATTTTTTTAAAGAAATTCTACTGTTTATCAATGTAAGTATCAGAAAATATTAATTCTAGAAGGGACCTTAGGGGTCTAGCCCAGGGATTTCCCACCTGTGTTCTTCTCAGCCTTAAGACTCCTGGAAAGAACTTTGGGGAGAAGGGGTTGGGTAGCCAGTTGGAGCTGCTACCTCTCTGCCCCCGCCTTAAGGAGATCAGCTGTTTTTAACAATAGGGTTTTGAGTAAAGTTTCACTTGTAAAAAGTTTCATTAAAAAGAAGAAAAGAAAAAGTATAAGCATGAAAACCTCTGATTCTCGTATAACATCTTAGAGGAGAGGAAACTAAGACTTAGAGAGGTACACTGACTTGCCTAGGCTCATGGAAGTAATAAATGACAGAGAGGTGCCAGAACCCTGGTTTCCTGATGTGTTTCTGCCTGTTTCTATTACATCACACTGATTCTACAAGAGATTAGAAAATAATCACATAGCCACATCCGATCTAATTTTTACACGAGAAAAAAAAACATTAAAAAAACAGGTGTTTCCAATAAAAATCACGATTTAAATGTAAGCACCAGATGGGTTAGAGAGTAATCTAAAAGGGTCTCCATGCTCTCCATTAACAGTTGTGAGTAGGATGAGGAACAGATAATGGTCAAGAGAATTGATCTTGCTCCTCAGTCTGCTGGTCACGGTCCTTACTACCCTCATCTCCTGTGACACATCAATCCCTGATCATCTGGCCAAATGAAAAGATAAACAGTTTGCTTGATCAATTACACCTCCGTGTTTCATGCTTATAACATCTGCCCCATCTGAAATGTCCTTGTACCTTTTATCCACCTCTAACTACCTATTAAATCACAATTCACTACTTCCAAGAAACCCCTATGGATAAAACCATTTTCACATGTTCACATCCCCTCTAATGATATCGATACCATTTTTTCCTAAACCAAAAATCTGGACTCACTGCCTGACAAATGATTGTATTTATGGGGACAACAGGACGGAAGGCTTGAAACTGGGGCCATTCTAATATGCAACTGCCATTTATCCTCACGATTCTTTACATCCTTTACTATGAATTGTTTTATAGATGATCTTTCCACTATAGGTATTCTCCCCAATTAGATTATATGCTTTTTGAAAGCAGCCATTCAGACTCCTACTAATTTTGACTTCTCTTATAAGACCAAGAATCTAAAGTCAGCTTGATTCTTGGGTTGTCATATTACCTCTGAAACCCCTTAGGAAGGCATGGCATATTGGATATCAACATGCTGGCTCTAAGTTCAACACGGCTAACTTCTCCTATAAAATTGAACAGATTTTTCAGTTAAGAATAGACAAAATAGTTGACTTAGTTTAGAAGCCACTTCATATGACAATACTTATTTTTAAACACCAGAATCACATGTGATGACAAGATGTTTACACTGAGAGAGGCAAGAGAGAAGTGCAGCTTCACATTTCTCCATCTGAGTCTCTCGAGAGAGCAAGCACACACTCATTGAATGGAAAGGCTGACATTTAAATTGCTCTTGATCCTACTCAGAGTGAACTGGGGACAGCGGGGAGTGGGTAACGGGTGCGTAGGGAAAATAGCACTTTTAGTTAAATTTGACTCAATTAAATGGGAATATGATGTAGACCCTCACGTGCTTGTGTTAACGGGATAATCCAAAATATAAAATGTTATCCAGTTGCAGGATATTAGGCCTTAAGTCAAGAAATGCTCGAAGAAAAATATTTATAAATTGGTTCCTTAAACCATGCCTCCATAAGCTTCTACTAAGGGCAGCAACTACTTTCTTATTTGCATTTCGTATCCTCAGTACCTGTTACAGTGCCAGAGTACTTGTGTGATAAATGTTAATAAATAATAGCAGGGTAACAGCCAGACACAAAACGAGAGAAAATTAAGTTGAATAAAGATGTCCATTATTTGGTATTTAGAAGGAGGTTGTTTTACAATATTGAGGGAAGAAAAAAAATAGTATTCTATGCCAGGTTCCCAGAAGAATGTCATATTTTTTCAACCCTTAGCATCTAACACAGGATCTGGCACAGAAAAAGGGCTCAATAAGATTTGTGATCCTTAATAATTACTAACACTTACTGAGTTGCTTGCTATATTCAAGCATCATCTAATTAACACCTTTACATGCATTACTGCCTGGCTAACCCAAAGGCACAGAGTTAGTATGTTTTGAAGCCAGAATTTAAAACAAGGTCTGTACTACTCTAGAACCAGTGCTCTTGACCACTAGGCAATACTGCTCCTCAATTTCATCAAAAAAGTAAACAAAGCAACTCACATTTTGAAAAAGCTCTTGTCTCAAGAACCATAATTAGAGCTAAGTAAGGTCTCATTTTAAAGATAATCCTTGGGACTTCCCTGGTGGTGCAGTGGTTAAGAATCTGCCTGCCAATGCAGGGGACTCGGGTTCAAGCCCTGGTCCGGGAAGATCCCACATGCCACGGAGCAACTGGGCCCGTGCGCCACAACTACTGAGCCTGTACTCCACAGCCCACGAACCACAACTACGGAGCCCATGTGCCGCAACTACTGAAGCCTGTGCACCTATGGAGTGTGTATATCCACAGATTCACTTTCTAATTACAAAACTACCACGTGTTCACTACTGAAGATTCAGAAACCATTATTAGACTGTTAGTCATTAGATTGCAAATTTGTAACTTATATTTCAGCTATGTTGATTCTGTGTAATGAAGTGGATTCGGTATTTTTGCTTCAATTACGTCTAACATTGATGCATGGCATGGCTTAAAGCAAGTTCAAAACTCCTAAGGAGAACCATTCAACTGTTCATATGATAACTGTCACAGAACTAGACAGCTCATTTTGTAAAACAAGCCCCGCCATTCATCCTTTGATAAGCATCTTTTCAACAATCATTTTTATACTAGTTGATTTCCATCACTTTCAGTCAGTGTGGGATATTAAGTATTAAATATTAAAATATCCTGCCACTATCAGAAGAAGAAATAGTATATATGTAATGGTAAAATATCATTAAAATTCTCACAATTTAAATGTTGGAGGAAAAAAGTTGAAAGTCAAATGCAAGATAAAATAGTAAAGGAGGTCAGGAAGTAATTCTCTATTTTTCAAGCCAGGAGGAAATTATACATTTATTTGGAATAAGGCAACATGGGTTAATGAAAAAAATCACTTATTTTTTGCTTTTGGCTAGAATTATATCAACTTAGTTATGAGGTAACACTGGTACTATTCCTACCCGTATTATTCGGAATACATTATATTTATCATTTTATTCTACTTCATTAAAAAAAAAACTGCTGGCCATGACCTGCTAAATTGATTTGACATCTCATAAAAAGGATGTAACCTGCAGTTTGGGGGGGAAAAAACCCACACTATTTTAATGGATGTTATTGAAAATTAACATCCAGTTATTAGTAATGGAGTGAACAATCATTTGTTAATAAAGTTTATTAACTGAGAAGTTGTTTATAATAACCTTTCAAAAGTGGAAACTACATGGGCTTCCCGGGTGGCGCAGTGGTTGAGAGTCCGCCTGCC